TCCCTTATGTTCATCTGTTTTGTATCTTAAAGTCCTCATATGAGTGAAGTCATATAATATTTGTCTTTCTCTGACTGACTAATTTCACTTAACATAATACCCTCTAGTTTCATCCACATAGTTGCAAATGGCAAGATTTCATTCATTTTTACTGCTGAGTAATACTCCATTGTATATACCACATCTTCTTTATCCATTCATTGATCAATGGACATCTGAGCTCTTTCCATACTTTGGCTATTGTCGATAGTGCACGTGCCCCTTTGAATCAGCACAACTGTATCCTGTGGATAAATACCTACTAGTGCAATTGCTGGTTCGTAGGGTAGTTCTATTTTTTTTTTTTTTTAATTTTTTTTTTCAACGTTTATTTATTTTTTTGGGACAGAGAGAGACAGAGCATGAACGGGGAAGGGGCAGAGAGAGAGGGAGACACAGAATCGGAAACAGGGTCCAGGCTCCGAGCCATCAGCCCAGAGCCTGACGTGGGGCTCGAACTCACGGACCGCGAGATGGTGACCTGGCTGAAGTCGGACGCTTAACCGACTGCGCCACCCAGGCGCCCCACTATTTTTAATTTTTTGAGGAACCTCCATACTGTTTTCCAGAGTGGCTTTACCAGCTTGCATTACCACCAACAATGTAAAAGAAATCCTCTTTCTCCACATCCTCACCAACATCTGTTGTTGTCTGAGTTGTTAACGTTAGCCATTCTGACAGGTGTAAGGTGGTATCTCATTGTGGTTTTGATTTGTATTTCCCTGTTGATGAGTGTTGTTGAGCATTTTTTCATGTGTCGGTTGGCCATCTGGATGTCTTCTTTGGAGAAGTGTCTATTCATGTCTTTTGCCCATTTATTCACTGGATTATTTGTTTTTTGGCTGTTGAGTTTAATAAGGACTTTATAGATTTTGGATACTAACCCTTGATCTGATATGTCGTTTGCAAATATCTTCCCCCATTCTGTCGGTTGCTTTTTAGTTTTGCTGATTGTTTCCTTCACAGTGCAGACACTTTTTATTTTGATGAGGTCCCAGTAGTTCATTTTTGCTTTTGTTTCCCTTGCCTCTGGAGATGTTTTGAGTAAGAAGTTGCTGCGGGCAAGATCAAAGAAGTTTTTGCCTACTTTCTCCTCGAGGATTTTGATGGCTTCCTGTCTTACATTGAGGTCTTTCATCCATTTTGAGTTTATTTTTGTCTATGGTGTAAGAAAGTGGTCCAGGTTCATTCTTCTGCATGTCGCTGTCCAGTTTTCCCAGCACCACTTGCTGAAGAGACCGCCTTTATTCCATTGGATATTCTTTCCTGCTCTGTCAAAGATTAGTTGGCTGTACATTTGTGGGTCCATTTCTGGGTTCTCTATTCTGTTCCATTGATCTGAGTGTCTGTTCTTGTGCCAGTACCATACTGTCTTGATGATTACAGCTTTGTAGTATAGCTTGAAGTCCGGGATTGTGATGCCTCCTGCTTTGGTTTTCTTTTTAAAGACTGCTTTGGCTATTTGGGGTTTTTCTGGTTCCACACAAATTTTAGGATTATTTGTTCTAGCTCTGTGAAGAATGCTGGTCTTATTTTGATAGGGATTACATTGAATATGTAGTTTGCTTTGGGTAGTATCGACATTTTGACAATATTCTTTCTTCCTTTCCAGGAGCATGGAATCTTTCCCCAGTTTTCTTGTGTCTTCTTCAATTTCTTTCATATGCTTTCTATATTTTTCAGTGTATAGATTTTTCACCTCTTTGGTTAGATTTATCCTAGGTATTTTCTGGTTTTTGGTGCAATTGTAAATGGGATTGCTTCCTTGATTTCTCTTTTTGTTGCTTCATTTTTCATGCGTAAATGCAACCAATTTCTGTGCATTGATTTTATATCCTGAAACTTTGCTGAATTCATGAATCAATTCTAGCAGTTATTTGGTGGAATCTTTTGGGTTTTCCATGTAGAGTATCATGTCATTTGCAAAGAGTGAATGTTTGACATCCTCCTGGACGATTTGGATTCCTTAAATTTACTAAATTTATATTTGAATTTCCTCACTAAGTATTCAGTGATAACGAGTTTCTACATGGCAAAATGTTGATAATCATGCTCATGCTAAATGGTGTCTAAACAAATTACATCATTGTTGTCCCAAATACAGATTAGCCGAGTCAGAAAAAATGGTCATGATTTCCTCAACATAATTTTCTGAATTATATGCATCAATGAAAAAACTCTGTATTACTCTAATAAATTACATTCTCTTGTACAAAGTTCTGTGCTTACTTGAGTGCAGTAATTCTTGAACAGAGTTGTTACTGCTTTCCCAACTGGCATTTAAACACATAAGGTCACATTTTAAAACCTTAATTATGAAAGAATTTACAAATATACAATAGAGGAGATAATAATATAATGAAATCCATAAACCCATCACTCATTTTTGACAATATGAAGTGTCATTTTATAGCTGTTCTATTTTTTTTTCCTCAATTCTTATTGGGGCCTTTATTTTTTTAATTGCCACAAGGATGACCGGTCACGTTTAATTTTAAGTAACTCCACAAATCCTCCAGGGCACAGGAAGATCTCACACAACAAATTGTATTAGCTAAATTACCAAAAGCATCTTTTTGAGAAATACTTTTAATAATATGATGTTACAATAGTGATTATACTTTTGTGACCTATTTACTCATTAGGCAAACGTTAAAATCTATATTGCAGAAAGATAAATAATTTGAAACGACCAAAAGGGAATTTCTCATGGGTAAAAACTGGCTTAAATTAATTTGAATACCATGCTTACACTTTATAAAGGTAAATCTGCATTAAAAACACAATTGCACCAGAAGTCTCGTCCCTTTTGGAAGACAGCCCATCCTCACCCCAGCTTCCCAAAATAAAACTCTGGCCCTGGGAAAACAAAATAAAAATAACAGTTTCCTTTTTATATGGCCTCAGGACTTATACTTCGATACTTCATATGTAACATGGAAAGTGGAGCATGATTTTTGTGTTGTATAGAAGTTGAATAGGTGAAGTTAGGCACATGAATTTACTAAACCAATCTGTAACATTAATTTCTTGTCTATTTTTTTCAATAGCTAAATACATTTCAATTTTTTCTAATACACAGTATGTAACAGAGTTTAAGAGCACTAATTTGGAACTAGAAAACCTGGATTCAAACCCCATCTTGTTAGTTCCAACTTGTGATTTTTGCATGAGTCACATCCCCTAATTGCTCCCCAGCATTCTGACACTATATGTATCACTATATACTGTGAACCCTAAAAGAGTTCATCTATGTAACATGTTTTAGAATATAGGTACACTGTAAGCATTACATAGTATTAGGCATTAATTCTGTTATTTTTTATAATCTCTAGCTTTTCTTAGGCATGTGAACCAAGTTTAACCAAATGCTGGCTTTTACCTACATACTATGCTATAGGAGTAATTAACACCAATAATAGATGTGGAACCAAATAACCTCCATGAAATTCACTTGGTAATACAAGTAATGCAATTTACCAAAGGTGATCTAACATTTCGTATAGCACCACCCCTTATTTAATACAACCTATGAAGTAGGGATTATTAGTACCTTGTGTTTTACATGAAGAAACTGAGTTGAAGGTAGATTAGGTAACTTGTGAAAACAACCAGACATTTTCTATCAAATAGTTCCCTCTGGCCAATATAAATTATTAAATCATAGATAATTTCTGCATCCTTCACCAAGATTACCAATACACCTTCTATAAATACATCCCATATTACAAAATGCACCATTCATCCTCTCTTTGTGTTATCTGTGTCTGTACTGGTACATGATGACAGATTTCACTGTGTCACGTGTGAATATGTGAACATTTATTACGATGCTGTTTATAGCGCCTATTATTTTCTAATAAATTTTAGTACTGCAGGATCAACTTAGACTTGTCAGAATCACTTATGTATTGGGATCTTGTATGCTTCTTTAAAAAAATTCAGAAAGAGGTCTAAAAGAATACTAACATTATGAATCTTCAACAGCACTGCAATGAAGGATTTAACACATAAACCAGTCAGTAGGGAAGTCATGGTGCCATTTACACGGTACTTGGATTTCCATAGTCCTGGGTTTGAATCTTAACCTCCCGTAATCCTGCATGTGTGACTCCGGGCAAGGTCCTTCAACAATTTGAGGCAGTTTATCCATATGTGAAATTTAATAAGGTAAAACTTTATAACAAATAAGGTAAAGGGTGCATTGTTAGGCTTACTAATTTAATTTTATCTAGTCTTCTTCAATAAATGACAGGAGGCAGATAATCTATCAGGGGCTGGAGCTACAACTTGTGATTGGATTTTGGCAGACACTTTTTCAAAACAACATTATTTTTATACTGAAGGAAGAAAATCTTGTTTATTCTTTCTTATCACCAGCAAGCAATTTTATGGTGTATACTAGCTTTCCATAACCTATGTTTTTTACTTCCTTAAAGCTGTATTTTAATTTTTACTTTTGAAAAGCCCTCTCTCCTTCATTCTTCTTGTAATTTATCATCCTTTTCAGGAAGAATCATTTTGAGAGAACTTTTTAAACATAGATGATCTTACTCAATAAAGTTTTAATTATACGGACACAACATAGAAAACATGTTTTATCCAGTGAAAATTATCACTACTGGTGAAGATTGGTTCTGTGAACTAACTCTTGTATGATGGCTACACGTTTGACAAAATACTAGCCAGATGGTTGACCTTATCTTTGGCGGTGAGTGAATTTCAGGGATGAACCCTGATACAGTTCACTCCTGGTGCTCTGAGAGCAGAGCACTGATACCTTACTTATCCATCCTTTTATTGTTTATATTTGGCAAAACACCTCAAATTTTCCCATAAAGGAAGGATCCCTTAGATTCTATATAATGGCTAATTAAAAAAATTAAGACCATTTACTATAAAAGCAATAACTGACGAGATTTTATAATTGTCTGTTTTTTTTTTTTTTATGTTTTCAATAGGTAACCCGTTATTAAGCAGCAAAGTCAACATATTGATTAATGTCTTAGATGTCAATGAATTTCCTCCAGAAATATCTGTGCCATATGAGACAGCTGTGTGTGAAAATGCCAAACCGGGACAGGTAACTTATTAATATTGTTAACTAATAGCATACGAAGACTATATGCATGTGTTTCAGGTTATAAGCCCACACATGAATAGACACACACACACACACACACACACACACATACACACACAGAGAGATATCTGTGTGTGTGTGTGTGTGTGTTTACATTAAAAAAAACCCCACAATGGATAGTAAATTCAAAAGTTAAGGGTGATTTATGGATGTACAAGTAACACCACAGGAGATAAAGTGATGCTAGCTTAGTGAACATTCTTTGTATAACTAACAAGCCTAGGATTGCAGATCTGCTCTGTTTTCCTTTCCTTTCCTGTGGAATTTCTATGGACTCTGTGACTATAAAGAAGCAAACAAATTGAGAATGCATTCTTCTAGTGTTTCTTGCTTTGGTCACATGCTTTATGAAGAAGTACAGAAAAGCTCTATAGCCCATTAAAAATTTAAGGCTTCTTTCTTTGGTGGCCTTGAGTAGAACATCTGGGTTACTGAAAATCTCTGAATTATATTCTCCTTATTAAGTCAATATTGTTCTGATTCTAGTGGAAGATCTCATGAGGGAGGACACCATAGTTAAAAAAGTTATATCAAAATCCTAGAGTTAATGTGAGTGGTGTTGGGTAGCCAGTTTTTGTTTCTATACTATTACAGATGAGTGGATAAAATAGCATACCATGTTATAATGTAATATGATGGTATGATATGACATGATATGATATGATGAATCAAGAATGAGCAAATGATGAGAGTGTGTCATGAAATAATAATATGATTAACCCAATACTGTGCACCTAGGTCCAAAGGAAAAATAGATCAGTATGCTTGGTTTGTTTTCTATTTTAATCACCTTTAAATAGCATAACTATTCATTTAAATAAATTTGAAGTTTTAATTCTTACAGAAAAATTTTAATATTTCAAACAGTATCATTATTCAAAAAGATCATTCTTTAATCTTCAGTATTTGTTTCAATTTGAATGCATTAAACTGATTTGTAGCAAATCTGTCCCATAATCCTAATCCTGTGATGTCCACTAGCTAGGTAGCTATTAAATTGAAATTAAATAAATTTAAAAATCAGTGTTCTCTTTCACACTAACCACATTTCAATTGCTCAATGGCTGTATGAGATGAGTGGCTACCATTTTTTTTCCATGTAGATATACAATATTTCCATCAATACTGAAACTTCTAGTGGCTTGTGTTGCTCTAATCCTTTCTCTGATAATTTGAAGAAAGTATTAATTTTATTACAGCATGACTTGTATAGTCAGATTTCCCATTTGATAAATTTGCATCCTTAACTTTGAATAGACACAGAAATGCAGAAAAAGGTTTAACCCTCTATCCCCTTAAATGTACCCACAAATTACATGGGATAAGCTCACCACCTGCTTTAGTGTCTGAAATAGAAGCACCTGAATAAATGTTCAACAAATAATAAACTTATTTGTTTATTTGAGAATGTATTAAGAGGTTTTCTGAAATTCCACAATGTAGCAATTTCTCATTTTCCAGATCCCTTCACCCTCACCCCCATAACCAATCCTCTACTTTTTTAAAGATAATTAGGGATTTAATTCTTTTATACCAATCAGACTCTTGTAATGCACACAATGAAAGTCCTTCGGATATAGAATTCCATTCGGTGCTTCTCTGCTTGTCTAGTAAATGAGTTTAAAAAGTTGGGAATAGTAGAAATGACCTGAGGTAACTTGTTTTTCTTACATCTGGACAAAGTGGTAGGTAATCCGTGGGGTCCTTGGACGCTCTTTTTCTAATAAACATCTGTTGGGCTTTCTACTGGGTCACATTTATGTACAAAGCACAACCCTGAAATATTACTAAGTTTTAAGGGAGTGTGGAATGTGAGCATTTTCTGCTTTTGACCCAGCCATCTTCCCATTGTCTAAGAATTATGCATAGGAACTGTCTATCTCTTCTGGCCGATAATTGAATATGTATGTATGTAAGTATGTATACATGTATGTATGTGATATCTGGCAAGAGACAACAGGAAAAGAAAAGGATGATACTATCTAAATCAACAATGGTGAATCACTGAAGTGTGAGAGGTTTTTTACTTAGCGTAATGACTCCCAAGTGTCAATTCCAGATAAGTGCCAGTTTAAACTAAAATTTTCTTCTCTGCTGTTTGAAAGGACATTGCTTCATTCTAAAGTTATGTTCTTGATATTTTTTGGTGTTAAAGAACTTTAATTTAGTAAATGATTATGCTTGCTGATAGTAGTTAATAGCAAAACAACAACAACAAAAAAAGCACCTGGCAAATCAATCCCTTAATAATTTACAGAAAATTTGTGGATGGGAACTATGATCTGATTAAGCATATGGATTTATGTGAAGGAAAGTTGAAGTTTTATAGAAGTGTGACCGATTTACACTGACCTAGACACCTGGATTTCTCATGAGAAAATCAATTTGTTGGGGCGCCTGGGTGGCTCAGTGGGCTAAGCGGCCGACTTCACCTCGGGTCATGATTTCATGGTCTGTGAATTCGAGCCCCACATCGGGTGAGCACTAAGCTGTCAGCTCAGAGCCTGGAGCCCGCTTCGGATGCTGTGTCTCCCTCTCTCTCTGCCCTTCTGCTCATGCTCTGTCTCTCTCTCTCTCCCTCAAAAAATAAACATTAAAAAAATTAAAAAATAAAGTAAACCAATTTTTCAAATTACAAATTACCAATACTGCTTCAGGCATAAATTTCTTAGTATGTATGCTTATGTGTGAATGTGTGTATGTGTATGTAAGCATACATGCACACAAATATATGGGGAGGTAGAACATAGTACTAAGACTGAGTTTTAACCATGAAATGAAAACAAAAAGTATCAAATAAATCACATGTTTAGGGGCCCCTGGGTGGCTCAGTCAGTGGGTTGTCCGACTTTGGCTCAGGTCATGACCTCACAACACGTGAGTTTGAGCCCCGCATCCCGCATCGGGCTCTGTATGCCGACAGCTCAGAGCCTGGAGCCTGCTTTGGATTCTGTGTCTCCCTCTCTTTGCCCCTTCCCAGTGCTCTCTCTCTCTCTCTCTCTCTGTCTTTCAAAAATAAATAAGCATTAAAAAATTAATTAAAAAAATAAATCACATGTTTAATGTCATTGTGCTAAGACACGACGTGTGCTTTGCCCACTGTGACCACAATGTAGTATTTGAAATGTAAGGTCTTCTTTTGGCAAATTCAAACTTAGTCTAAAAGAGTCATCACCTGAGCAGTCCTCTGCCCTCACCCTCTTCTACACACAATTCCTGAAATTCTTTCTGATGCAAAGCTATTGCATATGTTAATAAATAAAACCTCAAAGCTATTATAATTTGGTTATCTGTGTAGTGAATTATCAATTTCACAGTTTGGCTCTTAGAAGTTATTTTTAATCTCCAAATTCTTAAGGGCACTTTACTGAAGTGTCAGAATTTTAACTACCAGACATACAACCTATGGGAGAGATTTAGGAAAAATTTTAAACACGATGGTTAGTGTTTACTTCCTAAAACCATTTTATGAGAATGCAATTAGCATTCTGGCCCGTTGGGGAGAAACAAATAAAAGAACAAAATCAGATATACATCCTTTGAATTTCTCTTTCTCAACATTTTATTTATTTATGAAAATAAAATTCATTCTCACAAACGTAACTATACTAAAATTTTGCTGTCACAAGGGCTTTTAAATAATCAGCGATTTTCTTTCCAGTAAGCATTTTCGTATTTATGTTAGAAAGCATTTATTTTATTTAGTTTAAAATGCAAGCAAGTGCATTTTAATTTTATTTTGCTTATTAGTGAGAATTTTCAATGCTGTTAAGCTTTTTTTATTTTTATTTTAATTTTTGTTAATGTTTTATTTATTTTTGAGACAGAGAGAGACAGAGCATGAATGGGGGAGGGGCAGAGAGAGAGGGAGACACAGAATCGGAAGCAGCTCCGGGCTCTGAGCCATCAGCCCAGAGCCCGACGCGGGGCTTGAACTCACAGACCGTGAGATCGTGACCTGAGGTGAAGTCAGACGCTTAACCGACTGAGCCACCCAGGCGCCCCAAGCTTTTTATTTATGCAGATATTGATTTGGAATTGGCCCAGACCCTATAATTGTACCTGCCATTACGAACTGTGAATGTTTAGATATTTGTTTATAAAAATTATTTGTAAATAATTGGTCCACCGATATGAATCTTAAAAATGTCATTTATCTCTCCTTGCATGCATCATTGAATAAACTTACTAGCCTGGGATGTTAAGTTCCCTTTGAAACTCATGACTGACTTCAAGTTTCATCTCAACTTTGTTTCAGATAATTCAGATAGTCAGCGCTGCAGACCGAGATCTTTCACCTGCTGGGCAGCAATTTTCCTTTAGATTATCACCTGAAGCTGCCGTCAAACCAAATTTTACAGTCCGTGACTTCAGAAGTAAGTTTAACCGCATAAAAACGTACCTCTTGCCATGTAACTTTGTAAAAGGGCGCAAAGGTAGCAACCCATGTTTTTCCTAGAAGCACTCAAGTTCATAAAATGTGGAAATCCATATATGAGAAATATGAAATTCTATGGCTAGCAGTAAATTAAATATTTAACCTATATAGATCATATCTAATGAGGCAAATTGCTTCCATTTATAATGTGGACGGTCCCTTAATGAGTCAAGCCAAAATAGCCTATCTGGGAAATTGAATGCTTTCTATGTTTTAAACGTATCATTTGTTCCACATGCACATTACTTGTACAAACACATACGTAACTTCTTAGTAATTGGTTTGTTTGAATAATATACAGTACAGCACAGGTTAAGAATAAGGCTTTGTAACTAGAATGGCAGAAATTTTCATTCCCACTCCATTATGTCCTCAATGGCAGACTCTCAATGCATGAAGTTATACTACATAATTTAAACTCATAGTTGAAATAAATCAACCTCATAGTATTTATTTTTTTTTAAAAATTTTTAACGTTTTTATTTTTGAGACAGGGAGAGACAGAGCATGAACGGGGAGGGTCAGAGAGAGGGAGACACAGAGTCTGAAACAGGCTCCAGGCTCTGAACTGTCAGCACAGAGCCCGACGTGGGGCTCGAACTCAGGGACCGTGAGATCGTGACCTGAGCCGAAGTCGGCCGCTTAACCGACTGAGCCACCCAGGTGCCCTCATAGTATTTATATTAAATAAAATAATACGTGCAAATCATTTAGCACAATACCCAAGATTATTTTAGTGATCACCTCTGCCATCAGTCTGCACTTCTGTGTCTACCACAGTCATCATCACCACTGCTTCTGCTCCTAATGGTATCACATCTGCTACTGTGACAGTCACTACAAAAATACAAAGGACACTGGATATATTGCAGCTAAGTACTGGCCAGTTGTTCTTACATTATTAATTCTGTGACTGTGGACATTTTATCCCTTCTAAGTTTCTTTAGTTATGAAATAGGAATTAGAAACATCTGAGTTCATAATATTGGATGGTAAAAAGCTAGTTTCTTACTAAATTCTATGCTTATAAAACAAATGAACAGATTGTGATGAGATGATAATGACTGACAGAAGTCAAAGGATGTCTGAAAAAAATTTACTTGTCTGTAAATATTTAGAGAAAGAAATCATTTTGTCACAGAAGGAAATTCAGTAGGGTTTTCTCCAACTAATAGTGTAGTGTGAGGAATGGCTATAAATGCAACAGGGTCCCAAATATGAAAGGCCTTATAAGTAGAGACACCACATATTTTATTATGAAAGCTAGAATACTTTGGAGAATAGACATGGACGATATTAGTGATTTTAATTAGAACAGCTCACATAAAATAGGACTGCCCAAGACAAACCAGAACATGTAGTCACCCTAACTAGAAGCCATTTAAAGACATTATAACTTTGGAAAGGTTTAGAAGAGCATACTATGTTCAAATTTGCATTAGGAAGATCAGTTTGGTTGTAGTTTGAAAAAGACAACAGAAGGATATAGGATTACTTCCGATGCTATTGCAGGAGGGGTGAAAGTGTGTTAGATTAAGGTAATGGCTCATGGAGATAGGTGGATAGAGATAGAAAGTTGTAGGGCTTGATGCTAGATTCCCTAAATTCTGGATGTGAGTACAATGGACAAGAAGACTAATCAGACCTCCAGATCCCTGGCTTGGGCAACAAAGTAGATGGACACATCATTCAGGGACATAAGCATTGACTATCTTCCCTATTGTATGGTTTTGGAGAATTAATATCTCATAATATGAATTAAATCATCTTGCCTCATAGCAATAGTGTTTTGTCACAGTCCGAACATTGTTTGCTATTTAAATATGCCATTTGTTATATTCCCCCTTTTATCTGAACTTACATTTTAAGTGTAAGTGTAAGTCTTTAATAACTGAATAGAAACATTTTATTACCTCACATCACCTCCTCCCCCCCCCCCCCAGGGGTAGACTATTTCAGTTCTACTCACGTTGCAAATTTCAATTCTACAATAGAGTGGTATCAACCATAGCACCATGTTATAGTTACCATGGTATACCTTGTTATACCCATTCATCTTATAATTGAGATTTTGTATCTTTTTGCCCATGTTTCCCTATTTTCACCACCCCCAAGCCCTGGCAACCCCATTTGTGCTCTCTGTTTTTATGGGTTCCTTTTTGTTGTTGTCGTTCTTTTTTAGATTTCACCTCTAATGTCATGTGCAGTATTCATCTTTCTCTGCCTGGCTTATATCACTTAGCATAATGCCCTCCAGGTTCATTCACGTTGTCCCAAATGTCAATATTTCCTTCTTTCTTACAGTTGAATAAAACTTCTTTGTGTGCATATATATTGTTATATGATACACATAAACTTTTTCTTTATCTGTTGTGCAGTAGAAACTATTTTAAGAGTGGAAATGAGGTTTAATGTCTTTTTTCCCATCATGAACAGCACAATGAATTGTATATGGTCACATATCAATAACAATAATGTGTTCAAAATTCAGTAATCCCCTTTTCTGGGGGAGTATGTTCCCAGACACCTAGTAGATTCCTGACACCGAACCACAGGTCGTACTGAACCCTGCATATACATGTCTTCTACTATGCACAGATATCTATGAAAAAATTTAACTTATAAATTAGATACAGTAACAGCAGTAATGAAATAGAACAATTATAGCCATATGCTCACATAAAAGTTATGTGAATTTGATTTCTCTCTTTCTTAAAATATCTTGTGTTGTATTCATCCTTCCTCTTCTTGTAATGATGTAAGATGATAAAATGCTAAGACAATGAGATGGAATGAGGGGAAAGACAGGCATTGTGATATAGCAGTAGGCTACCTTTGACCTTTTGACCACACATCTGAAAGAGGATCATCTGCTTCCAGGCCTAGGTTGACTTTGGACAACCGAAATCAGAGAAAGTGAACCCATGGATAATGGGGAGGAGGGAGAGGCTAAACATTAACAAAAGAGTAGGGTACATTTTGATATAATATGTTCAAGAATATCAAACCCATGGCTCCTCAAGTACACATATATCAGCTTCTCCAACCTCCTATTCTTACGTTTCAAATTTTAATCCTGACTGTTCCTTTTCCTCAGCTTCAGGTATTCAATCAGTTGCTGAAGATTTCAATGTTAATTCAACTAGTCCACATTTCTTTGTTCCTACTCTCATCACCATTATCTGGCATTACTGAGTCTGGCTGGCCATGTTATAATAGACATTTTGCATCTTGGTATTTTTTCTTTTTCAATTTAAAAAATATCCCTATGTAATAACCAAGTCATCTTCCCATGCAAAACAATCTTATCAAGTAACTTTTTCTCAACTTAGTGCTTCTAATGTAATGAATCTAGAGAATCTGCCTAAGTTTTAGCTGTTGAAATTAGACTATACAAATAGATGAATGAATATTACTGAGTTAGCAACATTATCTGACAAACCTGTATTTTAATGAGTGCTATATTTTTCTAAAATTAGTTTCCATGATTCCAAAGTGGATATGATGTATGACTATAATAGGTTAAATATTAATACATTTTTAAAAATAAATAGTAAGATATGTGTAGGAGTTACTTTAATAGACACAAAAATGAAATGGTGTTTTGAATAAAACCATGTTTCCACTTGTGTGTGTAGAAATACAATAAGTAAAGAAAAAATACATGCAAAATAATACTTTCAATAGAAGTATTAATTGCATTTATATAAGATTTAAAATTTTTATTGCCTTGGATTATTCTAAGTAAATATTGCTGTTTTTGATTTTGTCAGAATTAAAATGAATCATTTTTGTACTTATATTAAAATGGTGATTATTTATGTTTACAATTTTTAATGAATCTTGATGTTTTTAACACATTTTTTTCTCTTTTTCCTATACTAACTAATATGCAAAAGTGAAAAATGTAGATACAGATATATACAGATATATTTTACCATATACATAGCTATATAGCACAGATTCAGATCCAGGGAAAATAATAAGTCAAATGGGATATTGGTATTTGTTATATTTTAAATAATAGGTTCTTAGGTAACGTATTTTACAGATTCATACTTTGTAATCTTTGCTCTTGTAGCATGTAAGAAAACACCCACAGTTGTATTTTTTTTCTCAATGACATTTTGATGTTAAAAAAATGAGTCAAGTCAACACACTTCTTGCTTTATAACCAGTTTCTATTCCCTCTGAATTGAAAATATAGATCTTATACCAGAGAAGATTAATGTTTCTTCTTTTCCTAAGGATTATTTTGATTACATTTCATTACATTTGGCAGCTCTTATAATAATAAAAGAAAGAATTAAAATATGGGTCTATTTTGCTGATGCAAGAACAGCTTCCTACCGTTTAACAGATACCAACTTTTCAGATTTGAAGTGAAGCTTTTAGTAACCGTCTTATCAATGTCATGTTTTGTAGACAACACAGCTGGAATTGAAACCCGAAGAAATGGATACAGCCGCAGGCAGCAAGAGTTGTATTTCCTCCCTGTTGTAATAGAAGACAGCAGTTACCCTGTGCAGAGCAGCACAAACACCATGACTATTCGAGTTTGTAGATGTGACTCTGATGGTACCATCCTGTCTTGTAATGTGGAAGCAATTTTTCTACCTGTAGGACTCAGCACTGGGGCTTTGATTGCCATCCTACTGTGCATTGTTATACTCTTAGGTTGGTTTCAATAATCCCATATTCTCTCTCTCTCTCTCTCTCTCTCTCTCTCTCAATCTCTCTTCTCTCTGCCTCTGTCTTCACAATTGAACATGTAAATTAGTTTTTCTTCGTTGAGATGTCACATCTGGATAGAGGAAAGATTAACTACATTGAATTCTATTTTTTGTTAATATGAATTTTCTGTTTAAGACTCTATGTATATATAGCATTAAGAATAAACAAATAACATCATCAGAAACACAAGAGTACATTCAAGCCCTTGGGGATTCCGAGGAATAACAGTTTGTTGCACATGCCACAGTGAAATTTTCTATAACAGGTATCTCATTTACAGCAGTGTTTTTATAATTCATCTTATATTCCAGTAATTATTGCTATCTAATAAGATAGTACCTATCTTTAAAAATAAACTAGATGAACCATGGCTCTCCAATTCCCATTCAATAAAGGAAGAAAAGGGAAAAGACAGGAAAGAAATGAAAGAAAGTAAAAGCATTCCCAATTTTTTTTTTCTGTTTAAACTGCCAGCCAAAAGCAGTTCTCATTCTGCTTTTTTCACAGCTCCACACATCAAAATTCTAACCACCCTCCCTAGAAAAGAACACACTAAAACATCCAGAAGCGCTGCAAAGGAAAAGGATTGAAGTAACGTATTCTGTAACATCTCTGTGAGAATTAATATAAATCTACTTTAGGGGTTTCCGTCTTCCATCCATTCTGTTCAGCTGGCTCCATTCACTTATTAATTCACTGCCAGATTCACAAAACTAGAGAGAGCTTTTCTGTTTTGCCCGTCATTTCTTTAAGTTCAAATTGCAACAGAGGTACAGCTGGGCACTGTGGAATCCGTTGATATATGCTTCACAAATGTAGATACATACATTTATCTTTAAGATAGAAAATTAAAAAAAAAAAAAAAAAACAACCTAGGATGTAAAGCATGGAGTAAGGCATTATATGACAGTTTTTGGAGAACATTCTCTAAGAAGCTCATGTCAGTTTGGAAGTTGAAGTTCTGGTCCAATTTGCATAGTGTAGATACTAATTCACACAAGTAACATTGGTGTGTGGAAAAAAGATTCAAAATAACATTCTCACACCTGAAATTTAAAACCATCAGTTAGGTGCTTAACCTCAAATCAAGGGTTATTCTTTCATGCTTCTTTCTTTTAAGGAGCCACCGGAGTCCCAGAGTATTTCCATATCAACCTACCATGACTTGGCATGTTCTGGATGCTCATTTTTGGCCTGTTTGGCCCTTTGATAGTGTACTGTGTCATCTTGCTCTGCTCAGCATCATTTTGCCCCGCTGTCTATTACTCATTCCTCCAAATAGTTTCTGAGTGTCCACAGTGCACGTGTCCCATTTTAGCACATGGATTTGCAAGCCCACAGCAGCGAATGTTGACATTTCTAGTTCTGCCATGAAGAATTCTTAAAAACCCAACTCTTCTTGGACCTCTTTAACCAATCCCAAACTCCTTCAGACCTTCCCATTTATTCTGAGCCATTTTCTCATCTTTCCTGGGATGAGGGGAAGCATGAGTGTCCTGTGGTGTGTAGGGATCTTTTACGGGGCCCTCAGACACATCAGCTATAGTCCCCTTCTCAGCCATAGCAACTCCAAAGTCATTTTAGATGTAGGCCTTCTCTATGAGGTTTGCAGTTTCTGGCTCATCCCCCAAGTGAGCAATAGTCTTTTTTCATTTTGGGACCTCCTTAAATCCTGGGAAGAGTGCAGAGTGCTAAACGTCTCTTAGAGGCCCATCGTACAAAAGCTCTACCTATATCTCCTTCCTCCTTCCAGTTGGTCAACCTTTAATTTGGGAGGAAGAGGGAATAAATGAGCTTTCCTCATCACGCAATCTCCTCTAATTTCTAATCTTTTGACAACAGTCTTCCAGACTCTACTGTAGGAAATCAAACATACTGTGACTTTCAATCTATTACCCCTTCTGTGGAGGAGAGGGGGGTTTATGATGACCAAAGTTGAGCACTGACTTTATGCTTTGAATCTGTGCCCATTCGCTTCTAGAGGAACTAAACACTTACAATTTAGTGGTTGCTGGGCATCAGCCAGGAACAAAGAAAGATTTAAGTGAGAGCATATAAATTAAATATTTCAAAATTTTATCATGAATGAATGCAAACTGAACACTGGGAATTTGATTTAGAAAATGTCTCAATATGTTAGGACACAGAATTGAAATAATTCGAAGTCTCAGTTGACACAGTTTATAAAACTAAGGCCTTTATATTCTGTACCCTTCCTTCCTTTCTCTTCTCCTTCCTTCCCTTCTTTCTTCCCTTTTAAAATGTATCGCTTTGAAAAGTCATTTTTACAAGAAGATGTGGGTTTGTTTCATTAGAAATGCAAGTAATGTTACAGCTAGGGAATCTAGCTATAAATATCTAAGTGTTACTTATGGGCAATAATATTTAAGTTTTATTATACCAATACTATACAGCTCTCTCTATGCTTAGAACAAGCATTCTTTCTTACAACATTTTGTAACACACCCTTTTTAACTGCCACTAAAATACTGAAATATAACACAAACTAAATATAAGACAGTCATTGCTTGATTTTGTGAATAATTTTGCTAAGGTTTCTTGTTAGCTACAATTTGAAAATGAAGTTGAGCTTTACACGATGAACAGTGTAAACATAGATATGATCCTTCTTGATTATAATATGTTTACTTTGAAAATCATCAACTACATATTCTCAACTTGCAACTTTTGTCTTGTTCTAGCCATCGTTGTACTGTATGTAGCTCTGCGAAGGCAGAAGAAGAAAGACACTCTAATGACCTCGAAAGAAGACATCAGAGACAACGTTATCCATTATGATGACGAAGGAGGTGGGGAGGAGGACACCCAGGCTTTCGATATTGGTGCTCTGAGAAATCCGAAAGTGATTGAAGAAAACAAAATTCGCAGGGATATAAAACCAGACTCTCTCTGTTTACCTCGTCAGAGACCACCGGTGGAAGACAACACAGACATAAGGGATTTCATTAATCAAAGGCTGCAGGAAAATGACGTGGACCCGACTGCTCCACCGTACGATTCATTGGCTACATATGCATATGAAGGAAATGGATCAGTAGCAGACTCCCTTAGCTCTATAGACTCTCTCACCACGGAAGCTGACCAGGACTACGACTATCTGGCAGACTGGGGACCCCGCTTTAAAGTCTTGGCAGACATGTTTGGTGAAGAAGAGAGTTATAACCCTGATAAAGTCACTTAGGGCACAGGCGAAGGATAAAACACAACCAAATGGAGAAATTTAAGAAAAGGAAACACAAATAGAAATCACACACACATTCACACACACACAGACACACACATGCATGCACACATGTGCGCACACACTTACACACACACACACACACACACACACACACACACCAGGCTTTATAGGAACACAGTCCTTTGATTACCTGGTTTCTAGCAAGTTGCTATATTTATCATATTGTCAGTTTTGTTTTACTCTGCAAACACAAGATAAATCCTATTAACTGTACTCGCTTGGTTTTGTTTTGTTATTTTGGAAACACACTGAGACAAGCTCAGGCCTATTGAATACAATTTACTGACATGACAACATAGAACGAAGATAGCTATGTGGCATCACGGTGGAAGAGTGTTAGATTTTTCTTAATTCCACTAAAGTGCCTATTGAAACTCTTATCATTTAAAGTGGTGTCCAATGCACTCTGCTGTGATGGCATTACAGGATTCAGAGATACAGAGGACAGAAAACAAAGACACTGTCTTTATGTCAAGGAGCAATAGCAACACGCTGACTTCTAATTCCTTTTGAGGAAAAATGAAGAATACTTTCTGAACTCCATCTTCTTATAATTCAGAGGTTTTTTTTTCTTTTTTAAACTGTATGCCAAAACACATTTGTTTTTCCTACCCTTTCAGAATATTGAAATAAATGCGATAATATCAAATTCAATATGTAAGTCCTGAATCTTAAAAGCAATGTTTGATCTTCACATTAGTTCGTATTAAAGGTGATCAGCAAAATGTTACTTTTTTTCCAAAAAAAAAAAAAAGACATTTTTAAAAAGGAAATTAAAGAAAAATCCCTCTTTATGAAGAGAGGCCTCAGGGCTGAAACCCCACATCAAAATAAATATTGGTTTTGTGTTAATACTGTGCTGGTGTGTGGAAGGTTCGTTTTAACAAATCACCAGATCATTAAAGTGTTCAGTCATAGATAAAATTTTAAGTTGCGCTTCTACGAAAATTATTAAGGAAGAAAGTGCCATTAATTCAAACATGGGAAGAGAAATTCATTACAGAGCTTCTCAGAGTTTCTTACAAACTAGTGATTTTTTTTGATGAGCAAAGAAAATAAAATACATATCAAATGATACAGCATGGATTTATAGCGTGTCTAAAAATATTACATATTATTAGACAAATAAAAAATCAGGGATTTCAGAAAATTCAAACCAGTGACTAATTCTTAAGATGAACACAAATGCAGAATCAAGCAGTTGATTGATTTATTTAATCAGCATGGATTTCAACTTTGTAAACATTGTTATTAATGCTCACAATTGCTTCTTTATGTGATCATCTACAATAATTCCAATATAAATGATCCCATACAACTCTTCTTTAAAAAACTTTTACTTTTTAATTTGAGGCAGATTTCTGAGAAATGTTAGATTTTATAAGCATACAAATACACTACACTCATATACTTTACTTTCAAGTGAACTGTACCCTATCTAGAAATGCACTTAACAAAACAGATAACTCCGAAGTGATGATATATTTTCTTAACAGTATAATTATACAAGTGACTACTGAACTATTGAGACTATCTCTAGGAAAAAATAAAATAAAATTTGCTTATAAGATCCACCCTGAAAATGTGGTCAATAGCTAGCTGTATTTATGAAATATTTATGAATATATTTATATTATATTTGCAAAGTTGTAAAAGAATTCGCGCATGGGAAAAATGGGTAGAAATATGGATAGTATAGGCAAATTGTATTCAGTCCTATTCATTATTAAGTATTATTTCAAAAAAAATATGTAAGTGATAATCATGCAGTGGCAATTTGGCTCTTAGCATTTGCAGTTCACATACCTTCTTTGGTGCCACATAGTTGCACACTGTCCTTGTTTTCCATATCATGAACAATTGTTGAACCTCTTTTCGTCCTCCCAGCACCCAGATCTCACTTGTGTCTCAACTTTGGGAAATATATTTGAATATTCACATCGTGTAATAATTTGCAGCATAGAATGCTTTGGGAAACAGCTATGTAATTCTTTTTTAAAGCTGGTGATGTCATAACCTTACTGGAAAAAAATGAAGGCAACTTCTGGGTTTGTCCTAGCAACATGATTTACTATGCAGTGATGCATGACCCCTTGAAGAAGGTTAATATGGAAGATCACTTCTGGCTGACAACATGATTCTTGTCAGGAATCATTGACGTTTGTTTCTGGTTAGAGCATCTAGAGCATCTAACTGCCTCTGCAGGCGGTCATAGGTAGAAAGCCATGATGGCACAAAGAAAACTTGGGAAGGACAGGTCATTTCAAACCACATGACTGAGATGCTAAGCAAATATGTGAAATTGGTGAGTCTTACTTTTATCAAACTAATAAGCGTTTGGCCGTTACTTATCTATTTTACTTTTGCTACCCCACTGCAATAGTTTCTTAGGGCTGCCATGATGAAGTACCACAGACTGGGTCACTTAAACAACAGAATTTTATTTCCTTGTGGTTCTGGAAGCTGGAAGTCCAAGAACTAGGTGTTGGAAAAGATTTCTTCTAAAAGCCTCACTCCTTGGCTTGTAAATTTTCTTTCTCCTTGGCTTGGCCATTTTCTGTGTCTTCATATGGTCTGCCCTCTGTGCTAATTCCTCTTCCTTGAAAGACACTGGTCATACTGAGCCCACTCACAGGGCCTCTTTTTACCTTAACTCTTAAATGCTCTGTCTCTAGATACAGTCATATCCTGAGGCACTGGTGATTAGGATTTCAAAATATCAATTTTAGGCAGACACAATTCAGCCCCTAATGGCCAATATATTTAAAAAATATATTTGATTTCCAGTAAATGAGCAAACAAATGGGAAAAAATGATATAGAATGGAAATAATTTCAGGCACAGTAGGAAACCAGAGTGATATAGTGAAAAGAGGTCTTTTGGCGCTCATAAACTGGGATTATAATGGGTTATCTTTTAGACTAATCAATACTTATAATATCTTCCTTTTAATTTTTAATAAGCAGTCCCTGGCCTTCATTTAGGAATTAATCAATGTAAAAAAAAGGCTTAGAATTTACATGGAGAATTTTGTCCATTAGTAATAATCATACATAACTTTTTAATTACATTACATGTTTACCGTTACAAAAAATATATATGTACATATTATATGTTACATCTGAATATAATATACATTTATTTTAAATGCAACATTTGTGCTAAAAAAGTATTAGATCAACACATAAGAATGAAACTGTGCTATACTAAATATAATCTAAAATTGCCCTGTACCAAATTCTATCACTAACTGGAAATGTACTATGGAGCAAACACCTTTGCCTCCATGTTTTACTCTCTTTGTAAAATTTATCTGTTGCCCTTCGTGTTATCTAGGTTTCTTATGAAATTTCTTGATACTTAAGTTCTAGCTACAATTATAGGAAGTCTATTAAATTGTTTACATATTGATTACATAAATTTTTGAGAATCATAAAAATCTTTAAGATAGAATGAACAAAAATCTTTGAACTATGGATTTGATTACTTACTTTGGCTTACCATATACCACATCAGGAGAGCCAGGCAAACATTTCTTAAGACATAATGTCAAAATGCCTCAGCAAGACAATGGTAGAGGTGTGCATAGAAAGAGAGAGAAAAAAATATTGGAGCCCAGATCCTGAGACAGAGAAGGAAAACAAGTGACAGGAAGAAAAGGTTGGAAGGGTGTGTCAGCCTTTGTCTTTAAAAGGAGGACATTTTCAAAATCCTTGGAAAAGTTTTAGTAACTTAAGGTATTAAAATGTGAATTCTTTGGGCACCTGGGTGGCTTGGTTGAGTGACTGATTCTTGATATCGGCTCAAGTCATGACCCCAGGGTAGTAGGGTTGGTCCCCGCCATGGGCTCCGTGCTGAGCTTGGAGACTGCTTAAGATTCTCTTTCTCTTCCTCTGCTGCTTCCCAGCCCCTCTCAAAAATAAAGTAAGATAAAGTAAAATGGAAATTCTTAAGAGCAGGTGTAAAAATGCGAGCATATTTGAGGTGGGAACCAAAGTAAGACTAGGTGTGAAAAGAGTTACTAAGATGTCAGTAACATTAGTCTTCTTCCTAAGCAAAAAGAGTGGGAAGGAGATAATTTTATAAACTCATGTTTGAAAATTTCTCTTGACTCCTCTGCTAATTCATAGTCTACCTAGCTACACAATTGTCATTTAGATTTTAAAAAATATTTTGAAGATGTGTTCTATCATATTCTGGCATCCAACCAAGCTGATGAAAAATAAGGGTAAATGTATCACTCCCTCATTTTATGCAATATAAGTTTTTTCGTGATGATATTCAGATTTTTTTCTTTTCCTTTTTGTTATTAAATTTCACACCAACATGTCAAGGTGAGTCTTTTGTCATTCTCAAGACTAGACACCCAGAATGTTCTTTCAATATGGAGCCACAGATCCTTCAGTTTTTGGAGATTGTCTTGTATTAATTCTCTGATGCATTCCTACCCTGTGTTTTTTCTTGTTGACTCTTTGTGGGATGTTTAATAGTTGATTGGAGGCACTGGGTTTAAGAGTTAATTGCATTATTTTTTAACTATCACTTTCTTATACTTTATCCCATTTTCATGATTATCTTTCCATCTTCGTCTTCCAGTTCTTTTTTTCCTTTTTTATAATTTTCATCCTTCCAGTTCTATTGGTAAACTTTCTAGTGATTTTTTTTTTTTTTTTTTCTGATTTCAGCAGCTTGTTGCTGTGTTTTTCTGTTCCGTCTCTTTCCTGTTATTCTGCTCTTGTTTGTAGATAGTTTGTTTCTTTACTCTTTACAATAATGTTAATTTTACTACTTTCTACAGTTTTTTTGGTAAATTTTTTCTCTGAAATATATGTATCAAATAGAGTAGGGAGAAAGAGAGACATAGACGGATATTTTAGTTTATTCTATTTTGATTCAGGTCTCATTCTAGTTTTTTGCCATATTTGATATGTCCAAGT